CCCTTTGGCATTTAGCATTGTAAAACCAGGGTTTATTTATTTATTTATATTTATTTTATTATTATTATTTTTAATATTTTATTTTATATAATTTTTACATCATTTTTCATTTTTTGCACAACATATGCATTTTCATTTTGGTTATAGACCCTATACAATTGCACCCCCCTTATTTTGACCCTATTTCTTCCTCTCCTACCCTTCCCCCCACAGTGTGTCTCTGGTCCATAGTTGCTTGTTGATTTTGATTTTTACTTTGTATTAATTAGTCTTTTTCATGGTCCCTGATTTAGGTTTTCTAAATTCCTGCTATGAGTGAGACCATCTGGTATTTTTCTTTTTCTTTCTGACTTATTTTGCTGAGCATGATCCCTTCCAGCTCCATGCATGTTGCTGCAAACTGCATGTGTTTATCTTTTTTGATTGCTGAGTAATATTCCATTGTGTATATGTACCACATCTTCTTGATCCAGTCATCTATTTTTGGGCATTTGGGTTGTTTCCATAGCTTAGCTATTGTAAATAGTGCTGCTATAAACGTAGGGGTACAGGTGCCCTTTTTTAAGGCATTGTAAAACCAGTTAAGAGAGGATTATAGTTGTCCACATGAAAAGATAATAGTAACTTGAGTAAGAGTGGTAAAAGTGAAGATGAAGAGATGTGCTTTCAAGTTTTATTTGTGAGGTAGAACAAGCAAGACTGGATGGGAACTGAGCAGTAGGCGAAAGGAAGGAGTCAGCAATGATATTCAAATTTCTGGTTTTAATGATAGGGTGCATGAGGGGCCTATTTACCAAGAAAGAGAACCAACAACTTGAATTAGCAATGAGCATGGCATGCTGGTCCTTATGTGCTGACTGTACAATATGCTTTAATAAATCCTGAGAACTTTCAATGAATTCATTTAAATTTATTTTTTCCAACGTTATTGTCTATTCATTTAAGTATATGTCACATTTGCTTCCTTGGTTAAAAACAAAACAACAATATCTGAGGTTTTGGATTTATTTACCTTTTACCACAGTTTGTTGCATTATATTTTTCTTTCACTACTCTTAATTCATAACTGAAAACCCTTCTAGTAACATTTAGCAAATCTCTTATACCCATTTTTTAAAATTCTGTCCATTTTTCCAGTATTTTGAAGTATTCAATTTAATTGAAATTAATCCAATGAACGTTGAAACAATAATCAAAATTACATTTTTTTCCCAAGAGAAATTTATTTACTTGTATATATTTTACATCATTGTTCATTTTTTAAAAAGATGTATTTATTTATTTATTTATTTATACAAGAACTGGGGTACAGGCCAGAGGCACGGGAGGGTGAGAGAATTCACCAGAGACAGAGCAGGAAGCAGAACAAGCAGACAGATGGAAAACACTGCTGAGGGGAGCAGCGGGTTGAGGCAGGAGAGGTCGGCCGCACCATGTGGGTTTCTCCCTGGCCTGCTGGGAATCTAACCCACGCTGCAGAGGCGGAGGACAACTTCACAGCGCAAGCCGCTGTGCCACCGGGGAGGCCCTTAGTGTTTTTTTTTTTTTTTAAGATTTATTTATTTATTTATTTATTTATTTATTTATTTATTTATTTATTTATTTATACATGCACTGGGTACAGTCAGAAGCACGGGAGGGCGAGAGAATTCACCAGAGCCAGAGCGGGGAGCAGAGCAGGCAGAAGGACCGAAGTACACTGCTGAGGGGAGCAGCGGGCGGCAGGAGAGGTCTGTGCGCCATGTGGGACCCTCCTCTGGTGGCCGGGGAGCAGCCGGGGATCGAACAGGCGCTGCAGAAGCTGCGGGCAGCCTCGCAACCCAGCGCTCAACCGCTGCGCCACCGGGGAGGCCCTGGTGTTCATTTTTTTTTATGTTTGCTTTTTTTCAAGTGTAGTCCCCATAGAATTTCTGCCACCAATTCTCCCAAGTACCATCACTATAGTCCCTTGTGCTCTTCCCACCCCCGTTTTGATCCCTCTCCCTCCCACTCCCCTGCAGAATGTCTGTGATTTATAGTTGTCTGTTTTTGTTTTGTTGTGTTTTTTATTATTTTTTCCCCTTGATTCCGTGTTTGGTTCCCCTATATTCCTCCTATTAGTGAAACCATCTGATATTTTTCTTTTTCCTTCTGACTTATTTCACTGAGCATAATCCCGTCTAACTCCATCCATGTTGCTGCAAATGGCATTAGTTTATCTTTTTTGATTGCTGATTAATATTCCATTGTGTATATATACCACATCTTGATCCAGTCATCTATTTTGGGGTATTTGGGTTGATTCCAAGTCTTACCTATTATAAATAGTGCTGCAATAAACATAGGGGTGCAGGTATTCTTTTGAATTAATGTTTTTGTATCCTCTGGGTTGATCCCTAGGAATGGAATTGCTGGTGATATGGTAGCTCCATTTTTAGTAGTCTGAGGAACCAGCATACAGCTTTTCATAGTGGTTGGACCATTTTGCATTTCCACCAGACGTGTAGGAGAGTTCCTTTTTACCTCATCCTCACCAACATTTGTTGCTGCTAGTTTTTTAATGTGTGCCATTCTCACTGGTGTAAAGTGGTATCTCATTGTGGTTTTAATTTGCATTTCGCTGATTATGTGGGATGTTGAACATTTTTTTCATATGCCTGTTTGACATTTGCATTTCCTCTTTGGATTTTTTTTTTAAAGATTTATTTATTTGTTTATTTATTTATTTATACAAGCACTGGGTACAGTCAGAAGCGCAAGAGGGTGAGAGAATTCACCAGAGCCAGAGCGGGGAGCAAAACAGGCAGAAGGACCGAAGTACACTGCTGAGGGGAGCAGCGGGCGGCAGGAGAGGTCTGCACACCATGTGGGACCCTCCTCCTGTGGCCGGGGAGCAGCCAGGGATCGAACCCGCACCGCACAGTCCGCGGGCAGCTTCACAACCCAGCGCTCAAACGCTATGCCACCGGGGAGGCCCTTGAATGGATTGTTGACTTTGTTTTTGTTTAGCTGTGTGAGTTCTTTGTATATCTTTGTGATCAGTCCCTTGTCAGTTGTATGGAGTGCAAAAATTTTCTCCCAATCAGTAGGGTGTCTCTTTGTTTTGCTTAATGTCTCATTTGCTGTACAGAAGCTTTTTAGTTTGATGTAATCCCAGCTGTTTATCTAAAATAAACATTTTAAACGATTATTATATCAAATATTGATAATGGGGCCAGGTAGGAAAAGAAGTAGTTATACTCTGACTGTACTCTGACTGTAGAGCTACAGTTCTTTGTTACTTCTTGGAGGACATGTTAGGGATATATATTTTAAAACTTTAGGTATTTGTACCTTGTTTGACCTCAGTTATCTTCTCTAAAAATTTTATCCTAAGGAAATATTCATGAATATATACAAAGGTACAGCTAAAAGGTGGATTAACATGTGCTGTTTATAATCATAAAAAACTGGAGAAAAAGCCAATGTGCAAAGATAGGGAGTTGGCTATGGTAAACAGTCATCTATGAAACAATGACAACATTAAAAATGTGTTAGAAAACTATATGGTGACATTGAAAACGTTGTGTATGTTATGATATATTTTATATACACACATAATACTTAGAAATACATTGTAAGAATTTACACCAAGATGTTAATAGTAGTTATCTTTATAGAAATAGGGTGATTTTTTAAAAAGATTTATTTATTTATTTATTTATGCAAGCACTGGGTACAGTCAGAAGCGTGGGAGGGTGAGAGGATTCACCAGGGCAAGAGCGGGGAACAGAACAGGCAGACCGACGAAAAACACTGCTAAGGGGAGCAGAGGGAGAGGCAGGAGAGTTCTGCGCGCCATGTAGGACCCTCGCCTGGCGGTCGGGGATCGAACCGGCACTGCGGAGGCTGCGGGCATCTTCGCAGCCCAGCGCTCAACCGCTGTGCCACCAGGGGAGGCCCAGAAATAGGATGATTTTACTATGTGCTTTATTTAGCAAGTTTATATTAAAATAAGAAAATAAGTTATAGTTCATTGGTCCTCTCCTACCTTTGCTCCCACCCACCACCCTCCCCAGAGGACTGTGTTGGAAGAATATTGGGGCTTTGATGGTGGGTATAGTGGGTTAACACTCATTTGCAGAGGTGTGACCTATACCTTTAGAACATATACAGTATACAGTGTCCCGCTGTGGGAACAAAGAAATTCCCCTAAATTGAGAAGGTAATTTGAGTTAAAAGAACAAAGTAGGCATATCTATTAATTACACTTCAAGTTTATTAAGGGCAACTTGCAGACAGGAGTCCTCAGCACCAAAGTCGGTAGAGAGTACTTTAGGTAGAGGCAGGATAGGATTTCCAATATCCAGTCTGAGCAATATCCTGCTTCACAGTCTTTGTTCGAAGATGTGTGCGTGATTCTCTCTCTCTCCCTCCTCTCCCACTGCCACCTCCCACACCAGTCAAAGAGCTTTTACAACAAGAGCCTGCTCTCTTTTGTCTCTGGAATCTTCCCCTTAACAGTTTGCATTTCCTTGGTATCCATCAGTTTTACCCAGCGTCTGTTGCTTCTCTCATTAAGAAATGTGGCTACACTAGAATCTGTCTCTGAGTGGTGATTACAGCTTTTGTGCTTATTAATCAAATCCAAATTTATCCAAATCAGCCCCTTTTACCTCAGGGTAAGGAAAAAACTGAGGCTCAGAGAGGCTCCATAACTCAGTCAAGAACCTACACATGACTAAGGGCAAATGACCAAGAGCAACAAAATCTTGAGATCCCAGACTAGGGCTGACCTCCACCAGTTAACCAAAAAAACAGAGGAAACTGGTAAAGAAAAGCTACAAGAGAACAGACCTACAAACAAAAAAGGCCAAGAGCCATGGGGGCAGCCCGGGCGCCCCGCGAATTAGCAGTAAACTTCCGGCCCCGAGTAAACTTCCGGAATCAACATCAGAGAGAGCCAATCAGAACTCTCCCCGGCGAACCAATGGGCGATCACATTACAAAGAGCCAATCCAAGCGGCGCTGTCACTGTTATGGTCCTGTCAGGGCGCCGGCGTCGTGGTGCTTGGGCGGCCGCCACCGAGAGGGTTTGGTGGGGCCGCTTCCGGGACTGCGGACGGCGCGCGACCCCGGCCTCCCGCCGCGCCCCTAGCCGGCCCCTCCGGTGTCGCCAGCCGCACCTTAGGGCGCGCGAGCGGGTCGGCGCCGCGGCCACCTCGGGGCCTGGCCTGGCCGCAGCCCCCTCCCCCGCCCCAGCCGCCGGCCCGGAGCGCCCTCGCGATGCAGCCGCCGGGCCCGCCCCCGGCGTATTCCCCCACCAACGGGGACTTCACCTTTGTCTCCTCCGCGGACGCGGAAGGTAAGACGGGACCCGAGAGGCCGCCCCCCCGGGGGACGCCGCGCCCGTCGCGGGGGTGGGGGTGAGGGGTCCCCCGGGGGCGGAGACGGCGGTGGCCGGGTGGGGACTCGAACCCGCTGCGCCTGCCTGCTGGGCCTCGCGGGAGCGTCCGGGGCGCCCAGGGATGGGCGTGAAGAACTTTCTCAAGTTCCTCGGGCAGCTTCTGCCTTTCCCCGCACCTGTGGTGACGGGCTTTTGTGGGCGCTTAGGTCTTGGGGACCCACGGATCCCTGAAATTTTGTGTCTGAACTGATTGGCTGCTGCTCAGAAAGGGGTGGCTGCAGCGGCTGGGGAAGGTGTCCGAGAAGGAGACCCCGAGGGGAGGGCTTCGTACCTGTTGTTGGACAATAAATAAACTTGGTGCTGGGATTAGATTCGGCATTGCCAGTGGAAAGTTCCCGAGGAGTTCGTGGGTTTCGTTATCTTGTTCTTTTTTTTTTTTTTTTTTTAAAAAAAAGGAATTTGACACCTTGCCTACGTCCCTGGTTTCCTCCCATTTTAAAGTATTTATCTGGACGTTCAGAGAAGTGGATCCAGGTAAATTTGAAACTTCTTGTAGTACAGCGAGGTGCTCCCAATAGCTTCTGCAGATTTCCTTGTACTACTTTGAGGAAGCAGATTGCTGGACAGATTTTTCTACAGCATAGGAAAGTGTGTTTTCCTCCTCTTTACCAGACTCCTTGTAACCAGAATCTTACTCAGCTAGTCATTTTCAAATTTTATTTTTTTTAGATTTTCATTTTTCGGTGGTCAGACTTACAGCCTGATATTATATGTGTGTGTGTATGTGTGTGTATTCCCCTGTAAAAATTTTTATCTAGAGAAGAACGTGGAGTTTCCTCAGAAATCTGCTTTCATGGTGCATCAGTAAATACAGTTTGTTCTCTTTTTTTTCCCCCCCTCATTTCACTTTTTGAGTGGCATCGTTTGAAAGACAGTATAGTATTTTGGGTCATAATTTAAAATCTAAAACAAAATTTTTATCCATCAAAGGCAATATAGCTGATCCTTTTCTTTTAAACTTAATTGAACAACCTGAAATACAGCAGCTGAAAAGATTTCAGTTTACTTCATCGACATTTGGTAGCATTGTGCTTACGAATATCAATTCTTATTTTCTATTTTTTAAAACAAATTGTCTTATCATTGAGGATCAGAGCCTGATGTTTGTTCAGACCACGTATGTCTATATACTTTTCATAACCTCCCTTGGTCCAGGAATTAGCTTTCTGAAATACACCTCAGATATCTGATAGATTAATAAAACATACATTTACTTCACATTATAACCAAGAAATTTGTAATAAGTAAAATCCAAAAGGTTTATTCAGACTTCTCCATATAGACTCCTGTATGTCCAGGGATATCTAGATATATAGAGACAAGTATAGTCTGTAATGATGATGTTTTAAGCATATGACTCATCTGTATAAGAATTCTACTGAGGGACCTCCCTGGTGACAAAAGGGGTTAAGACACAGCACTGCCAAGCTATCTGCAGCCTCTGCAGCACAAGTTCGATCCCCAGCCAGGAGCTAACCCACATGGCACAGCAGACCTCTCCTGACTCGCCCACTGCTCCCCTCAGCAGTGTATTTCGGTCAGTCTGCCTGTTCTGCTCCCTACTCTCTCTCTGGCGAATCCTCTCACCCCCTCCTCTGCACCTCTGGCCTGTACCCCAGTTCTTGTATGCATAAATAAATAATTTTTTTAAAAAAAGAATTCTACTGAGCTTTTCTTCTATGTTTTATAATGAAACTGAGGTTTAGAGAAATTCTGTAATTCCCATGTGATGGATCTGGAATTAAAACCTAGTGTTCTGTCTCCACAAATTATTTCACGCTAAAACATGACAACCTCATATTTTTATAAATTGAAGATTTTATCTGAAGTATAGTGCTGAGTTTTAGGTTTACATCCTGGCTCTACTAATTACTATCTATGTGATATTGGACAAGTAAACTCTCTGAACCTCTGTTTCCTAATATACAAAACAAATAATACTAAGTATTCAGATATTTTGCAAATGAAAAGCACTTAGTACTATATCTGACAGAGTTAAGATATGTTAACATATGCTCAGACTATGTTAGCAGTGATGCTGCTGCTTAGGTTTCAGTATGAATTGTCCTCACACTTACTTTTCAGTGTCTCCAACATGAGAGTTCAGCATTTGACTCTGCATCTACAAGTTTTTTCTCATGTTCCTAAGCAGGTCATATAAATTCTCCTTTTTTATGCTATTTTTTTAACCTTGCATGTATTCAGCATATAAATATTTTCAGTGTGTACCTTTCTTTTAGATTCTGTCCAAATCACTCTCAGTAATATTCTTACTGATTGTCCACATACATTCTTTTTTTTTTTTAATTTTTTTTTAATAGAGGCATGTTTTATTTATTTGTTTGTTTGTTTTGTTTATACATGCACTGGGTACAGTCAGAAGCGCGGGAGGGTGAGAGAATTCACCAGAGCCAGAGCGGGAAGCAGAGCAGGCAGAAGGACCGAAGTAAACCGCTGAGGGGAGCAGCGGGCGGCAGGAGAGGTCTGCGTGCCATGTGGGACCCTCCTCTGGTGGCCGGGGAGCAGCCGGGGATCGAACTGGCGCCCCAGAGGCCGCGGGCAGCTTCGCAACCCAGTGCTCAACCACTGCGCCACCAGGGAGGCCCCACATATATTCTTTTTTCTAAAATGTGCCTGGTATTTTTGTCTCTGTATCTATGTATATCTTGTTCCTCATGCTTAAAATGATTTTCTGTTTACTCCAAGTTGAAACTTAAGACAACTCAAATACTCCTCCTTTGATGAACTTTGCTAACTGTTCCTCAGAAACAGAACCTTTCTTTATCTTTTCTGTATCCCAGTACCTACCACAGAACCCAGAATACATCACAAAATATTTGTTGAAGGATTATATGATTTCTGATCTTTTTTAAATTTCATATGACATTGATTGTTGGGATGACAAAATTAAGCACGTTTTAGCTGATGTAACTTAAAACAGATTTAGAGGCAGAAGTCTTAAGTTAAAATCCTGATTCTTAACAGTAGTTAATGCAATATTAGGCAAGTCACATAGCTTCTGTAGATCTCCATTTTGTCACCTATAATATGAAAAGCACACTTAGAAAACTTTTGTGAAACTTATTTAAGATAATGTTTGTGAGAGCAAGCTTCATAAGTACAGATTTCAAAAGACAGTGCTAAATGTGATTAAGCCAATAAATTAACACTAAAATCCAGACTGCATATTCAGGTCTCTGGTATAAAACTACAGAAAGCAGTTATGAATGAAATGCTGTGTTTAAATGTAAGAATATTATGATATTGTTCTATACATGTAAACTCCTGTATGGAAATCTTTAAGGCAATCCTTTGACTAATTATTTGTCTGGTTTTTGGCCATAGGCCAGCAGTAATGGCATTACCAAGTGTGCTTAATAATGCCAGAATCTGCCTTAATTTTAATTTGCATTTTAACAAGATCCTGGGGTCTTTTGTATGCATATTTTAGCTTGGAGAACCACTCATTTAAAATGTTATGAATGATGGGAAGAGGAGGACAGTTTTCCTAGCTGGAGGATCAGAAGCAATGTAATACTAGTGATACACTGCTGAACTTTGAAGGCCACATAATGTTTGGTATATATCTGATGAAGGGAGTGCCTCCATGTGCAAGGAACAGCATGTGAGGAAGTACTGACACTAAGAAATGGTCTAGGGCTTCCCCAGTGGCCTAGGGGTTAAGTCTCAGTACTATCACCAGGAAGGCCTGAGGGTGGATCCCTGCCAGGATGCTAACCCTCATATGGCACAGCGACCTCTCCTGTCTCGCCTGCTGTTTGCCTCAGCAGTGTATTTCAGTAAATCTGCCTGTTGTCCCCATTCTGTCTCTGGTGAATCCTCTTACTCTCCCCTTACCCCCTCCCTCCTCTGGCCTATACCCCAGTTCTTCTATACAAAAAAAGAAATGGTCTGATAAGAGAATTTTAAAATTTCTGTGTATATAAATAAAACCCTACAAAAAGTAGGGTTCAAAGGAGTATGTTAACTGTGCAGAATGGAATCAAAGAAAGTCTTTAGAAATAGATGAAACATTTTGAAGGAAAAATAGAAGTTCTTTGGATTGTAAAGGAGGAAGACCATTCACATAATAACTATGTAATACAGTAGTTAATGGAGTAGAGGCAGTCCCTGTATCTTACAGCGCTCAATCCTCACGAACCTGAAATAGTGCTGATTTAGACCATGAACTCCTTGGATTTAGAAGCTCTTCTTTACTGCTGATCAGTATTACCACTGCCTAGCATGGAGTCTGCTGTAAACCAGGAACTCAATAAATGTTTGAATGAATGACTACAGGATACTTTTTTTTTTTTAAGATTTTTTTTTTTTAATAGAGGCATGTTTTTATTTGTTTGTTTGTTTGTTTTGTTTATACACGCACTGGGTACAGTCAGAAGCGTGGGAGGGTGAGAGAATTCACCAGAGCCAGAGTGGGGAGCAGAGCAGGCAGAAGGACCGAAGTACACTGCTGAGGGGAGCAGCGGGTGGCAGGAGAGGTCTGCGCGCCATGCGGGACCCTCCTCTGGTGGCCGGGGAGCAGCCGGGGATCGAACCAGCGAGCGCCGCAGAGGCGCGGGCAGCTTTGCAGCCCAGCGCTCTACCACTGCGCCACCGTGGAGGCCCAGGATACTTTTTTTTTTTAAAGATATATTTATTTATTTATACAAGCACTGGGTACAGTCAGAAGCGCAGGAGGGTGAGAGAATTCACCAGAGCCAGAGCCGGGAGCAGAACAGGCAGAAGGACTGAAGTACACTACTGAGGGGAGCAGAGGGCGGCAGGAGAGGTCTGCGCGCCATGTGGGACCCTCCTCTGGTGGCCAGGGAGCAGCCGGGGATCGAACCGGCATTGCAGAGGCTGCGGGCAGCTTCGCAACCCAGCGCTCAACCGCTGCG